TATTATAGTATATTATTATTACAGTACAACTATTGATGAATTGCCCGTATTTTACATTTCAAATAGTATTAAATTCTTTGTTTTTTTATTAAAATTTAAATAAAATGTTCAACTTACAAAACAAAATCCTTGCAAACGCTGCTGATTCTGACCAGTAGTAATCCTCCATTTCTGAAAAAAATCCATTTAAAAAGGTTGTTACAATATTGTAAGGTCGTAAAAATATTTGATAGTTCAGATAATTCTTTGCCTTTTTTCAAAGCAAATCTTCAGAGATAAAGAGCACAGAATAATTTGAACGACCTACCATTTAAAAAAATTTAAAACAACAAGGCTTCGATTAAAAGAAAAAAAAGATAATAAAGTTTAAACAAAATTTCAAAAAAGCATTACATAGACCTCAAGTATCAATTGACATTTTATTATAATACACATACTAAGAGCTTCTTTCTCTTTGAAAATGAAAGAAGAAATGGCATTCATACATGTGCTTAGAATGATATCTCCAAACCGTCAATCAAAACCAAACCTTACCCTACCCTACCCTACCCTACCCTACCCTACCCTACTTTCAAATTATCAGCCTTACTCTTCCTTCTCTATCATGTTCTACCCTACCAAATCTGAACCTTACCCTTACGCCTTCCTCTAACCCTCAATGTCATGCCATGACCTGTCTTGCTCTATTTTGCCTCATTTCATGTCCTACCCTAGCTATTCCATTTTAACATTCGTATATACCCCTGCCTAAGCTGAGCGCTTCAAATGGCCCACATATATCCAGACAACCTGATATGTTTTTTAATCTTAAAAGACATATGAAACATACCATACCCTGTAAAATTTTAAAAATCGCTCATCTGTACCATTTATCAGCCACTGTTAACCATATGGTCGCCTAACTATGAGTAATGGTTGTTCTTGAGATAAAAAAACTGACAACGATCGGTTGTTCCGAGTTGGTTTGGAAATTAGTTTTGAGAGCGCAAACAACTCAAGGTTTGGGGATATTGAAGGCTAATTCTTGACCTGCAGACTGACGTGGGTTGTTACGATGACTAAATCTGCTTGTCAAGAAAGTATTAGCCAATTTTTGTTTTGTAAAGAAAGTTCTTGCCATTTTTTGTTTTGTAAAGAAAGTTCTTGCCATTTTTTGTTTTGTAAAGAAAGTTCTTGCCATTTTTTGTTTTGTAAAGAAAGTTCTTGCCATTTTCTGTTTTGTAAAGCAAGTTCTTGCGGTGTTTTGATTTGCAAAGAAAGTTCTTTCCATTTTTTGTTTTGTAAAGAAAGTTCTTGCCATTTTTTGTTTTGTAAAGAAAGTTTTTGCATCCAAAAATTTTAAACTCAAATTTATAGCTTTCCCAGCTGTTTTTCAATGCTTTAATAAACTTTTTTGTTAAAAAGCACGTTTGTATGTCATCACGTTGTCTACCGTCTGTCTTATCATAAACAACCAATTACACCCAAATAAACATTGACCTTTAACGTTCGTCTTTTTCTTTTTTCTTGTCTAATTTTTTAAAAAACTTGTTGAAAAAAAGGCATTTAGTCAGTCAGCTTAACCTTAACCTAAGCTTAGGCGCCTAAGCCTAACAATATAAAATTAAAAAACCAAGCTTAAAAGCCTCACTTCAGAAGCCTAAGTCTAGAAGCCTGAGCCTAGAAGCCTAAACTTAGCAGCCTAAGCCTAAGCCTAAACCTAAGCCTAAGCCTAAGCCTAAGCCTAAGCCTCAGCCTAAACTTAAGCCTAATCCTAAGCCTGAGTCTAAGCCTAAGCCTAAGCCTCAGCCTAAGCTAAGCCTAAGCATAAGCCTAAGCCTAAGCTGAGAAGTCTCTTACCTATAATCATTCTAGCATGTTTTGGGCTTACTTTTATTATTTTTTTATCTCAAAATTTTTTTTTAAATTTTTTTTTACATTTCTAACATTTTAAAATGTCTTATCCACCAACTCCAATGCCTCTAATGTTCATTGTTTACTCAATAAACTAAAATCGTCTTGATCCAATGTTTACACTTTCACTTTTCCCAACCTCTCTGCTCACCCCCTCCAATCAACACGCTCTCTCCGCGGGTCCTCTACATTTTACTCTTGTGATTGTTTTTGAAAAGAAAAGTTATGTTTCGTGTACACAAAACCGTCTTCCACTCTTGTGGTACACACCCATTTTTCTTTTTTACCCTTTTGCGATTGGGAAAAACAGCTCGTGTTTTGTTTTGGGTCAGGCGAAAACAATTTTTAAGTTGTTTAAAGTTTGATTTCATAGCTAGCCGGCAGGCTGCTTACAAGTTATGTTCTTGTCTGTTTTTTTTGGCAATTGTAAAACCTTACCTTTTTGTTATTCTTTAAGGAAGGGATCTTTGTTGTTTTTGTAATTCTTTGGGTTTGTAATGTTTAGCTTCGAAAAATTTAGGCTTAACGATAATTTTTAATCAATTTTCGTTTAGGCTTTGAAGCTAAGCCTTCTAGTATTACGCTTGCTAGGCTTAATCTTAATAGCTTTAGTAGTCTTAAAATTAGTAGGCTTAGGCTTAATAGACTTAGCTTTGATAGGCTTAGTCTTAGTAAGCTTAGAATTAATAGGCTTAGGCTTAGTAGGCTTAGGCTTAGTGGGCTTAGGCTTAGTAGGCTTAGGCTTAGTAGGCTTAGGCTTAGTAGGCTTAGGCTTAGTGGGCTTAGGCTTAGTAGGCTTAGGCTTAGTAGGCTTAGGCTTAGTAGGCTTAGGCTTAGTAGGCTTAGGCTTACCAGGTTTAGTCTTAGTAGGCTTAGGCTTAATAGGCTTAGGTTTAATAGGCTTGTACAGTTTAGATTTAGTAGGCATCGGTTTAACAAGCCTAAACTTAGTAATTTTTTCAGGATAGGCTTCTAAACCTAAGCTTTTAAACTTAGACTAAGTCTTTTAGGCCTCCACTTAGAATTCTAGGCTTAGGCTTAAAGCTTAGGCTTAGGTTTAGATTTAAGCTTAGGCTTAGGCTTCTAGGCTTAAGCATCATGCTTTAGCTTTCGCCTATGGCCTTGGTTTTGACCTTAGTCTTAGCTTGAGCCTTAACTAGAGCTTGAGTTTTATCTTGAGCTTCAGAAAAATTTTCTGGGCTTGTAAAACTTATTTTTTATATTACCGAAAACTTGAAAAAAAATTAAAAAGTTTTTTTTTCTATTTTTGTTCGTTTTCCTATTATTCTCAAAAACCGAACCCAGCAACGTACTTATTTTTGATAGACTGCCAATTTGTTATGCACATCTATTTACACATTGTACATTTATTCCGTGAATTTTATAGTATATAAAGAGGCGTTGTGTGTACATAAATAACAAATTTGGTGGAGGATTCGGTTTATTTTTCGCGTTTTTTGCTAACACATCTGGTTGAGAATAGAACTGGAAAGGAACTTACGTAGACCTGTAAAAAGACCGGTCGGGCTTATTTTTTTAGTCTGGCTCGGCTTGTGGAAAATATATTTTATAATTTTTTTGGCTTGGCTTAGCGCTATGGGGGGATTATGTTGAATCAAAAGTAGCGGGACAGGTCTTAGTCTAAAAGATAGTGTTCCACTAGTTTTGGGACAAACTAATAAATGAAAAATGTCCCGCTATTTATTTTTGGTTTAACCTAATACTTTCTGAAATAATTGTCTTAAAAAATTAGGTTTGTTAGTAAGCTTTTAGTTTTTGGAATAAGAATTCACTATTAAATTTTTAAGCCTTTTCAAATACCAAAAAAAGGTCAATTTTAAATACCAAAAAATTCGTGTTCAAGCCTAAAATTTAATTTTTGATTTAAAAATCATTTTTTAAGCTAAAATTGCATTGCTAAGCCTAAATTTCATTTTTTAAGCTTAAAACTCATTCTTAAGTCGAATATTCACATTTTATGCCTAAAGAAATTGATCTTTAAGCCTAAATTTTTATTTTTAAGGTTAAAATTTTTGGAAATAGAGTGTATATAGAAGATTTTCTTAAGCCTAGAATTCATTTTTAAACCTATAATTTAAATTTTATGTCTAACTTTCATTTATTATGCTAAAAATTGATTTTTAAGCCTGAAATTCATTTTTTTATTCTTACGCACATTTTAAGCCTAACATTAATTTGTAGACCTAAAATTTTATTTTTAGGCTCAAACTTCATTTTTAAGCCTAAAATTCACTTTTAAATTTAAAATTTACTTTTTATCAATAAAATTTTACTTATTAAGCCTAAAATCGATCTTTAAGCCTAAAATTCATTTTTAAATTCATAATTTACTTTTTATCACTAAAATTTAATTTTTAAGCCTAAAATTGATCTTTGAGCCTCAACTTCATTTTTTAATCTTCAAACACAATTTTAAGCCTAAAATCAATTTGTAAGCCTAATGTTTCATATTTACGCCTAAACTTGATTTATAAATTTATAATTTACTTTTTATCACCAAAAGTTCAATTATATGCTTAATAGGCGCTAGGACAAATGCGGTTTTTGGACATTTGCGGATCTTCGGTTTTTGGACACTTGCGGATTTTTTAAAGGGGTTTTTTTTATTTTTTATTTAATTTATTTGTATTATGGTACTAAATTGTACTAAAGTTTGAATTGGTACGGTTTTAACATAACAGTACCTTTTTGGGCTTTTAGTACTATTTAGTACCAAAAATATAAAAACAGTACAGATTAAAAATTTAGTGCTATTTAACATTAAGAAATATTAAGACAGTGCCAATTTAAACTTTAGTACCATTTAGTACCATACTACCACTAAATTAAATAAAAAATAAAAAAAACTCCTTTAAAAATCCGCAAGTGTTCAAAAACCGAAGATCCGCAAGTGTCTAAAAACCGTAGATCCGCAAATGTCCAAAAACCGCATTTGTCCTAGCGCCGCTTAATATTCATTTTTTATGCTTTTAAGCCTAAAATAGTCATTTTAAGCCGAAACAAGCTTACAATATCGCGTTTATTGGCGTAAAACTCACTTTTTTACCTCAAGCCCAAAACTCGTTTATAGCTAGATACAATTTCAGATGGACTCCCCGAAAGCCATAGTAAACCCACTAAACCAGAAGGTGCCACGCAATGCCAGATCCGCCTTCTGGCGCCATTTCGAAAAAGGAATGAATAAGGAAGGCAAGGAGGTGGTCAGATGTCTATATTGTTCTAAAGAGTATCTCGGTCGAGGGATCACAACATCAGTACGATATCATGCTGAACAAGAACATGGAGTACGAGAGGAAGATACGGTCAAGATTGGCTCGGTCGATGGCGAAAATGACTGCGAATTGGTCGAAAATGGGAATTTTGAAAATGTGGATAAGATGGATCAACCTCATATGACTGCCCAACAGATATTAGGGGGGTTTTTGAATAATGAACTTATGCAAATTATTAATAATGACACTGATGCCCCATTGGCTTCTAAACTGTTGGCTGAATTGGCTACTGCTGCTAAGTTAATATTGGTGAGTACTCGCACTATCTACTGTATCTACTCTACCGTACCGTACCCATACTCTACCCTAACCTACTCAACCCTACCCTACCCTACCCTACCCTACCCTACCCTACCCTACCCTACCCTACCCTACCCTACCCTACCTTACCCTACCCTACCTTAGCCTACTCAGCCCTGCCCTACCGAAGAGATGCATCTTACATAAGAAAATCTGCCCGGCCTTAAAATACATCTGCCCTATAAAATTTTTTATTCAGAAGTAACACCATCCCCATAAACATGTACAATACCCAAAAATCAACCTTGGTATTAAAAAAAATTACCTTACCCTAAAGAAAAGTTCACCGTGCTTATTGTTATATTACATTCCAGGCTGAATCCCCCTCCCAACTCTCGACCAATGAAGAGACACAAATCCTCCGCGCCGCAGTAAAATGTCATGTTCACTTAACAACGCGCAATGTAATCCCATCTACATCGTATGCCGAGAGTTTGGACGATCGTGACATCAGAAGTCTTCAACATCGTGCTTCTTTCAATCGCATGGTCGAGCAGTTTGAACAAAGTGGCGTGACAATACCGGCCAAAGAGATCGACAAGGTCTTGGAGGTTTTGGCGGAATTGAACTTTACCGGGTTTTTGTTTCAAAAAATCGACCGGTCGGATAGAAGGAGGAGCTGACAAAGCTTGATATAGCTTTTGACGGGTTTTTCAAAAAAACAGAGGTTAATTTTAGGTAATTTCTATTGGTTAATTGTTAAGTTTTGGCATTTTTTAGGGGTTTGACTCCATTTCTGTTCATTTTTATGCATTTTCAGGCCGTTTTGGCTATTTTTTCAATTTTAACATAGTGAAAAGTAACATTTTTGAATATTACTAAAGAACACTTTGAGCAATTTTTTATTGTTGTTCAATTAAAAAATGCCATTTTCTCCCAGTATTTTAAAAGTTTTTCGTTGTTAACCTTCATTTTTTCACGTCTTACCTCTATTTTTTGTCATTTTCTATTAAACTTTTGTTAAAAACTTGATTTTACGGGACATTAAAGTAGATATGACTTCTTTGCTAACCCTACATGAGTCATCTCGCGACCCAAAGATCGGTCAAGAAGTCATATCTACACTTAGGCTACCTACTATAATATTATCCATAACTGTACCATACATATTCTTAAATACCATAATTATGTACCATAGTCTTTTGCAGTTCTATACCATGTAAAATACGATTTACAATGCCATAGTTCAATAAAAATTGTTATTTGTTTTGAACCAAGTATTGTTTTAGATTCAAAATTTCAAAAAAATCAAATTTTTTAATTTTCAAAATTCCAAGTTTTAAAATATGTACAAAATTGTTTAATAACCAATAAATTACCTTTACAAAGCTTAATATCTTAATTGTAAATTGATATCTACACTTGTTTACGAGTTGCTGGAAGTTGATGTAGCTGGAGTTTGAACGAGTTGAATTGGAGTTGGATCGCCGGTTGGCATGACGTCGAACACTTGACCATTCATACTTACTTGCATTAGACCTGACATGTCGACACCCGGTTGGCACTAAAATGGCATTTTTTACTTTAAAATTGTTCTTTTTTCGAAAAAAATGTATTACTTTAGGTAGAAAATAATATAAACCTATTCGTTTTTGAAGCCAGTAGCATGATATCAACAAATAAAAAAATAATATCTAAGAAACCAAAAAAAATTAAAAAAAAACTTACGACAAAGTATTCCATAGGACTTTGACCTTCACCATTCACTATTTGACCTCCTTGAAGAGCCTGGGGCTGAAAGTCAAAAGATAATTATAAAAAAGTATAAACCATGTATAAAATTTAATAAAATGATATTAAACCTTCACGAAAGTCATAGAAAAAGTCCGAACTACTCAAAAAATGAACGTACCGGAATCACTAATTGAACTTCTTCCTCCGGAGCTGATCTACCTGAATTACTGAACCCATTTGCTTCTGAAGTCGTCGCTCTTGGCTTCTAAAAACGTAGAATTAAATTACCTAATTGTTGCTTCATATATTTTTTATTTTAGTAAACTAGAAAAAAAAGTTATTATGAAAAATAGTTTATGTTGATCTTGTTTTAAATGTCCCAAACTCGTTTGAGCTTTTACAAACACATTTTGATCTTTTTAAACTAAATTTATGTTTTAAAAAATTGTCAAAACACTAGAATTCGTATTTTAGACATCAAACCTCAATTAAAATCCTCTGTAATCAAAATATCTTTTGATAACCAATGTTGCATAAAACTCACGAGCGGAGCATTCGGCTGACGCCCCATTCTTGGCACCAAATCAACCAAAAAATCGAACATCTCACTCTGAGTAGTAGCATTACTAATATCCGACTTGTTTAACGTTTTTCTTCGAGTTTGTTCAGCATGAATCCAAGCTCTCAACGTTAGCTCCTCAATAAAGAACTCACAAGCCTTTGCCACCATAATTGGACCTTCTCCGCTAATCATCTAAACCCAAAATAACAAAAAAACACGAAAACTTACTAATGACTTGACTTGTTCATCAATCTTCATGATTTTCTTTATCCGAGCCAATGGAAGTTCACCTTTCTTTGTCAGTTCTCGGTATTCTTCCTAAAACAAGGCTTTACTTAAGATTTACCAATAAAACAGTTAAATTATGCGTTAAAATTAAAACGAAAATTCTTACTTTAGTAATAGCTTTGACCCTCTCCATTCTATCTTTCCAAAAGTTCTGAATCCTTTCGTCATGAGCATAAGTATCAGTCGGCACCATTATATACTAATAAAATTAGTTAAAAATACCCAAAATATTAAAATTCAAACAAAATTACGCAGTTACAAAGTAAAGTGTTATTGCTATAGAAGAAAATAACTTCTTCGTCTTTTGAAAAAGAATTTTGTTCAAAACATCAAGTTAAAGACACCTTTCGTCGTATAATTCCGATAACACAAGCAAGTCGGCTTGGTCCCACCACGAAACACTTGAAACGCCACTTGCAGTCTTTCCGTTTTGTGAGTTGCTGGCAGTTCGAGAGATATCTTATTGTTGGCGATTGAAATAGAGGAATCTTTCATCGAGCCATTCGTATACTTCAAATTAATTAAGACATGGTAGGTTTGTTTTATTTTACTATTTTTCTGGCATTTTAGGTAGTTTCTGGAGCAGTTTGAAGTTTTTCAAAGGTATTCTTTTGTCGAAAAGAGCGTTTTGATGTAGAGTACTAGATGGGAATTATGTTTAATGTTTTAGAAAGGCTTTTTACGGACTATTTAGTTATTAGTTAAATTTATTATGTTTTAGAAAGTGTTTAGAAAATAATTAGATTTAAAAATGAGAACGCATTTTGGCTAACGGACTAAATTTAAAGCTAACTAGTTAATTTAGCTTTGAGTAACATTAAAAGTTTACTATCACGTTTTTTACTTATTATATCAAACATTTCTTGACATTACAAGGTGTTCCTATCATAACTTAACTTATTTCCAATACAGCAAAACCTGTATCTAAAGTAGAGCTCTAAACTTAACTATAAGGTAAAAAAAAGGCTTTACTGTATTTTAAAATAATTTTTATTTTATTTTAGTCAGACACAAGCCGCAGTCCACGTGCCAACGCCGCCCGACCAGCTGGAGCTGGTGCCGTTCGTCAACGTCGTGCTGCTCCAACTTCTGGAGCCGCATCAAGCGGCGGAACTGTGCGTACTCGTGCCACGGCTAACTCTGCTGGTATGTGGAGATTCACGACCGAAGAATCAACCGGATTAAAGATGTAAGTTGATTTTAAGTTTGTTGTTTTGTACTTTAGGTCGAGGTGATGGAATTGTTGTTTCTTGCTTGAATTTTGAAGTTAAAACGGGATGTGTGACGCGGAAAGGGGGTTTAAATAAAAGGTTTGGGTTTTTATCAGTTAGATTGGTGAAAAATACGAAGACAGGGTTTGTAACGGCAGTTATAACTTTTACATTATCTCCACCATCTAACAAAAATATTTTGATGCATTTTTATTATTTTTTTGGCAAAATTTTTAATCAATTGAAATTTCAGTGGCCCAGTTCCAGTCCTCGTTCTCAGCTTGGTATTTATCGCATCAGTTTTCGTCTTGCACATCTGGGGAAAATACACACGATCAAGCGCCAGCTAAACTTATTATTCCTTAAAGTTTATACCGTTTGTTAATGTATTTTGTATAACTTATTTGTTTTCTATTTAATAAAACAAAAGTGATATGTGCTAAAGGTAGAGAGAATAAATTCTTATTTTTCAAGTTTACTTTTGTTATTTTTTGTGTATTATTGTAGGCATATGATCCAATTTGGTAATATAATGACCTTACAGCTGCCTGAAAATTAAAAGCGAAGACGATAGTTGTTTCGGAGTAAGAAAACTTTATCTTGAAAGCTATAGGCTTTTTTAAATTTAATATAGTAAAGTTATATACACCGTATTCAAAAACCTGAGCTTATCATTTTCGTATCAGTCGGAACAAATTTACATTTTTAAGTAACAAAAAAAATATTTGATAAATTATCTATTTCACAATAATTTATATTTTAATAATTAAAAAAATTGGGCGCAAACTGCTTACTAATTTTACGTCGTGAGAGCCATTTGGTCCCGACTGGAAAATCCTGTTTGAACTCCGTGTTAGCCTACTTTCGTGGAAATGGAAAATTATACGATAGAAAAATGTTTTCTTCTTTTTGCGAGAATAGTAAAATTTGTGGAAAAGTTCAGTAATTTGATGTTTTTACAATATAAAGAGGGATTTTCATTATTTTTCCGATGTTTTTAATGTAATTTTATAAATTTTAGGGACTTGTCTTTTCTTGTTTTGGATGATTTTGCTTGTTTTTTGGCGAGATTATTTCTGTTCTTCGAGCTATTCTCTCGTGGCTTATATTCAGCGAGCTTTGCTGAAGTCTTGCTGTTTTCAGGTTCAAAATGTTGATGCCAACGGCTGACCGACGAAAGATTTACGAGAAATTGTTCGAGGATGGTGTTGCCATCGCCAAGAAGGATTTCCAGCTCAAATCGCACCCAGAAATCGAAGGAGTCAGAAACTTGTACGTGATCAAGGCCTGCAGAGTAAGTTTTTGTTATATTGTTTGTTGTTTAGGTGGTTGGCAAGGATGTGTGCAAAATTTAAAATTTTTTGATAAAAAAATATGCTATTTACCTTTTTTTGGAAGTATTGCTGGGTTTTTTGAAGAGTTTGGCGTTTTTACTTACTGTAAAGCAAAATCAAGTGTTGGTATTAAGTGTGAGTGTACTAAGGATCTATAGAGTTATAAATTAGTAGTTTAAGTTGATTTTGGTGATTATTACCAAGCTTTTTTGTACAACAAGTCTCAAAAAGGTATGACAATCACCGGATATTATTGTCGGCATTGAAGCGATACCTAAAGCTTTTTTATATGTGTTGGGTCGTCTTTAATGTTGTACATTCAAACTAGATTTATATACTTTATATTTTATTAGGGTTAGCGTGATATTGATGTATATAATCTGCTTTGTTTTGTTTTAAAAGCTTTTAAGAATAAGTAATTTCTTGTTACCTCTTACTAACTTTTTGTCTAATTGAATTTATTTCAGTCTTTGGCTTCTCGAGGATACGCCAAGGAACAGTTCGCCTGGAAGCACTACTACTGGTACTTGACCGACGAAGGAATCGAATACCTCCGTGACTACCTCGGTTTGGCCGCTGACGTTATCCCACTCACCCACAAGACCCCCAAGACTGGAGAAATCCGTCAAGCTTTCGCCGAAAAGGCTGGCCGTGGTAAGTTATTTTGAATTTCGATATTGAACTAGGTACAAATGGGGAAAAGTTTAGTTTTTTGATGTTATATTAGTATAGGCTAGTATTGTTTGAGTACACAGTGAGTCTATGGACATTCTTGTATTAAAAAATTGAATTTTTGCAAGAAATAGCATTGTATATCCTGCCGATGAGCTATAAGTGCTTTAATTGGCGTGGAAAGCTCTGCAAAAACGTCATTTTTGAATTAGTTGCTATTCTTTATGGATAATATAAATTGTGTAATTGATTCAAAATACATTTATGTACTTAAAAATTAGTATTACAGTACTATAGCTTTAAAATTATTTTTACTGTTTTAAAATGAGGAGTTATGCGGATTTTAGGGGTGGCTCTTAAAATTTTTTTGAAAAAAGAGGTACATTTTGAGTTATAATGAGAATAGGCGTCGTATATCCTGCCGGTGAGCAATAGTTGTGCTTTGATTGGCGTGGAAAGCGGCGCAAAATCAAAATTTTTAAATTAGTTGCTATGTTTTACATTTGATGTAGCTCATGTAATTGATTTGAAAGACATTTATACATGTTCCGGAAATTTAATAACAATATTTATTAGTCTGTTTCCACTTTGAAGCAAATCAAACTTTACAATCATTTCAGGTGGATTCCGTGGAGACTCTGACCGTGCCCAATACCGTGATAACAAAGTCACCGACGCCGGACCAGGCTCGCAACCCGTCAACTACCGTGGAGGATTCGGCCGAGGTGGTGCTCCTCAATAAATTTCTTCTTTTTGTTTCTGGTGGACATAAAAAGCCGCTGTTTATTGTTTGAATGGTTTATCATTGAATAAATTGTTGATTTAATTATGTAGCTTTGGGTAATATGAAGATTTGGTTTTGTTTTCTATGTGTATTTTGTTTTGTAGCGTCTTGGTTGTAGTGCGTCAAGTTTATTTTTATGCTTTTGTAGTAGCATCGTGCAAATTTGTGTATAATATTGTTTGCTATTGGAATATAGTGCTTCAGATGACAGATTCATCTGAATTTGATTCTCAAGCGAGTACATCGACAGTGGTCACGCTGGTGAAGCACGGTGCGGGAGACGTGCCGGCTTTCTTGAGAAGTGTCAACTTTGGCGAATATTTTGTTTTGATCTTTACATCTGATGGTATTCGGGTTGTATCTGATGATGGTATTGATGAGCAGGGCAATTTTTACTTTTTGGCTGACTTTTTTGACACTTACGTTGTGAAGGGCACTGATGTTCGTATCCGAGTGAACTCTAAGAAGTTTATTGTAAGTTACGGCACTTTTTAGTTTTCTTTACCTAAAGGCTATAACTCTATTATTTATGTTGCCAAATATTGATCATAATATTCTGTATAACAGTGAAGAAACTTCCTTTCCAGAACTGTCACAACTATTTTGGTCAAAAAGCCAACTTTGACTTGAGATGGGAGCTTGAAACTGTAAATGGTCAACTAAAAGTGATGTTGCGCCGTGACAATGAGATTGGCAAGTTGAGTGTGGCCACGTATGACTTGGTACAGCTTCAAGATACCAAAGAGATCGAGTCGAATGATGCTATCGTGCACATAGAATTCAGAGAAGCGGGTTTCTTGAGAGAGATTATCAAAGAGTTGGATAATACCGCTACGATGGTAGAGTTTGATTTTCGGGACGACAGAATGATCATTGTTAGTAAGAGCAGGGTGGTTCAGAAGGTAACGCGTTTTTGGACTTTCAACTAAAGTACATTTCTGTGGATCATACTATGATATTAATATTGATTTTCAGACCCAAGTAAGGTTCAGTGAAAAGAATTCGGACAAAGTGACAATGATTAAAGTAGCCGAAGGTGGAGTCAAAGTGTTCTACAGAATTGACCAGATTCGCCATCTTTTGCCACTTTTGAAGATTACAACACGAGTTTCAGTGTTGATCAATGAAGATGGAGTGTTGACATTGCAAGGACGTCAAGATACGTGTGCTAGTGTTGTGTATCTTCAGTTCTTTGTAAGTTATTGAGGGGAAAAAGTTTCAATTAGAAATAGTTTCGAAAAATGGCAAAAACTTTGTTTACAAAACAAAAAATGGCAAGAACTTTCCTTACAAAACAAGAAATGGAAAAACTTTCTTTACAAAATAAGAAATGGCAAGCAGGGACGTCGCTACGGATTTTCTCTGGGGGAGGGGGGAGCTCAAAAGAAATTTTTTTTGTCCACAGGTACCACCTACCTGTGGACCGATTTTCCAAAAATTTTTTTTTTCGTTATTCGCGTATAGGTAACCTACCTGTGTAATGTTTTTCGGATCGGCTCTGGGGGGAGGGGGTACCCCCCCTTACCCCCCTTCCCCAAACGACGTCCCTGATGGCAAGAACTTTCTTTACAAAGCAAAAAATGGCAAGAACTTGTTTCAAAAACTCAAAAATGATAATTATCGACCCAAATATGGTAATATATATGAAATTTCAGATCAATCGCTTCATTCCGGACATTGACGACGAGGATGAAGATGAACATCGAGCGATGCGTCGTGAAATGTACGCAGAAGCCATTAAAGAAGAACAAGAAAGTGGCGAAGTTTTGGTGCGACCAGTCAATCAACGTTTGGCTTTAAATCACACTGAAAGTGAGTATGATGAAGGAATTTTAAGGGAAAGACTAGGGTTGGGCGGGCACTTTTGGTCTGAGGGTCGAAAAAATCCGCAGGGGGGACCACGGTCAACTTTTTTCGAAATTTTTTTGGGGGTGGAAGCTATTTTCTTGGCTTTATTTTTAAAATTTTAATTAAAAAATTAAGTATGGGATTTAAAAAATGATTATGGAGTCATAAATGTTGTTTTAGACCCTCTAATGGACCCAGCCATTCGTCAAGCACTGGATTTTGTTGTTGGCCACAGATTATGATGTTAATCTCATTTTATTGTAAGTATAATATTTTTGTATATTTTGTCATATTTTTGTCATAAAATTTTTGAAAATTAAAAAAAATTTTTTTTTTGTTATTTTTGCTATAAAATTTGGTTTTAACTTTTTTCTTTCAAAAATGCTATTTATAAAGCTTAAAATCTTGTTTTATCAAATTTCGACTCATTTTTTGAAAAAATCTAAAAGATAATGATCTGTTCTTGAAAGCAATAACCTTCGAAAAGAAATAAAAGCGAAAACGAAAGGAAGAAGGTCGTGTTCCGTTGTGGTCTAGTGGTTAGGATTTGCGGCTCTCACCCGCAAGGCCCGGGTTCGATTCCCGGCAACGGAAGAAAGCTTTTTGGTGTTTTTTAGGCCGTCTAGGTACAAGAAATGGCAATATTAGAGTAGGTAAGGTTTTGGAAAATATTTTTTTATTAAAGTTGTGTTTTAAAATGGCATAAATAACAAAAAATTGATGAAAAATCACTGAAAAGTCATAAAGTGATTGAAAATTAATCAAAAATGTGCTGAAAACGTTATGAAAATGGTCAAACATATTTTAAAAATGTTAAAATAAATAAAAGTTCAAAAGATATGCAATAAACTTTGTCCGATAATGTAAAAAAATCCAAAATCAAGCTACAAAAATTTTATTTCAATCAAAAAATAAGTATAAATAAGGTCCATGATAAGTCCGTGATAATCACTTTTTGGCCAGCTCCACGGTCAGAAAGTCCACATCAATGTCGGGGTCGTTTGAGTAGATCTTGACCGGCATACCAAACTTGAAATTCTTCCCGTCCGACTTGAGGCAAATCTTCATGACCCGCTCGATCTTGTAGTAGCCTTCGCCGCCGCAGAGAGAGACGCCATCGGCCGATGCCATGAGCTGGTGGTTTCTTTTCTTCTGGGTCGTTGGGGGTGGTTTTGGGCTGGCCAAACTCTTCTTCTGACAACATTCCTTCTGGTTCTTGTTACGACCAGTCGATTCCTTCTTGTCCTTCTTACGGCCAGTCGATTTGCTTCTTTCCTTTCTACCACAAGTTGAACCATCTTTTTTCATTTTTCGACCGGTCGATTCGGATTTACGACATCTTTTGCCAGCCGATGGATCTTTGTTCTTTTCTCGACCAGTCGATGATTTTTTGGATTTTCTAAAGTCGGTCAAAAAGTCTCGGGAGCTTTTTTTAGAAGCTGAGTCGGTTCTTGAGCTCGTGGACGAAGTTTTGGAAAATTCTTGACTGGTCGATGAATTTTTGGGCCTTCTGAGTTGAGCCGATGAGTCTTTGGTGTTTTTTCGACCAGTCGATGACTTTTTAGCTTTCACTTCATCCATCAACGCCTTCTCAACCCTTTCCTTGACTTTTCCATTCAATTTTCCACAAGCCAGGCCTCTTCTCACATGCTTTGCCAGTTTAGATTTGCTCATTCTAGCCAATTTCTCGTCGCTAAGGATCATTCTGACTTCATTCCTCACGATTCTCTCAATCTCTGCTTCTGTAAACTCAACGATGCCTGGCTTTTGGCCTTCTTTTCCTTCTTCTACATTCATATTAGCCTCATTTCTACTGGCTTTTTCTTTTTTACCTCCAAAACCTTCCTTCTCAGAAATGCACCGTGACGAGGATTCAGAATTTGATTCGCTGATCGATGCATTTCTCGATTGTTGCTGAATGGCCAGACGTTTCGATCTCTGCTTGTAGCAGTTCATCAAGTCCTTGGATGATTGGCTTTGCTCTTGGCTTTGGTCTTGGGACTGACTTCTCAATCGTGATTCATATAAGCCACGAGAGTTGAAGGCACGATCCTTGGATTCTGAAAAACTCAGTTAGAAAGAAGTTCTTTAAGGTACCACATGGTCAATTTTTGAATCTTCAGTCTATTAAAAACGTCAACTTTTGGAGTTTGCCCAGAGTTTGCTCTTGAAAATGAGAAAATTCAAAGGATAGGGTTCGAGTAAAATTACTGTAGCTCCACAATTTTTTGAAATTTCAAAAATCTGTTTGATAAGTTAGATGACAAAATGAATAAGCTATATTATCACTAAGTTTTAGATTTCTAGCTCCATTTTTCAAAAAGTTATACTTAAAAAACCAAAAAAAAAGTTAAAAAATTTGATGAATATACGTATACGGTAAAATTACTGTAACTCCACAATCTTTCAAAATTTGAAAAAACCGTTTTAAGGTTAGACGACAATTTTTAAGCCCTACAATTACAAAAAATTTCAAGTTATTACCTATTTTTCAAAAAAAGTTATGATCAAAAAACCCCGACCACCTCCACCTACAACAATATAAAACCAACCTTGACTCAGATCGCTCAATCTTCCAAAGTCTTTTTGTGCACTTCCTCGACCACTCGAGTTCTTGGATCGCTTAGCCTTTGCTTTTGACTGGCGTGCCGACTTTCCTGGACTAGCGCTGGAACTGGTGCTTTTGGTCTTCTTGACCTTTTGTACCTCATCCTTGGCCCATTTGACTGGATTCGAGGCGTTTTCCTCCTCGTTCCACGAACTTTTGGACCTCTTGGCTGATCTGATGGATCGGTTGTTTGAGCTGTCGACTGGGTCACATCTTTTTGACTTTTTGCCATCGGCTAATCCTGATTTTTTGGACTTCTTTCCAGCCTTATTGTCCGATTTTTTGGTCTTCTTGCCATCCCTCTGGCCTTTTGACATGCCAGACTTCTTGCCCATGCCCTTCTCGTACTGTTTTCTGAATTCAGTCATGCTGATGCAGAAAGTACCGTCTTTTCTGGGCCGATTTTGGCAGTGGGCAGGACGGCAATTGCACGGGACCCTCTTGTTGGCACGCTGCTTGGCTTGGCATTCTGGCCGCTTGCATTGGCCTGGGTCTCTGGTACAGCCCGGTACTTTGGCAGGGCAGGCCGTTTCGCTGGCTGATGATTTGGATCGACTAGCTGAAGATTTGGATCGGTTAGCGCGAGATTTGGATCGGCTAGCGCAACACCTAGTTTGGCTAACGGAAGACTTGGATCGGCTAACTGATGATTTGGATCGGCTAGTTTTTGAGCTGGTACGGCTAGTTCTTGAGCTAGAACGGCCAGCAGATTTTGATTTAGGACTCGACTGGCTAGCTGAAGACTTGGACCGGCTAGCAGAGCTCTTGGACTTCTTAACTGATCTCTTGACTGGCCCACCAGTGCCTTTGGCACGGCATTTATTTCGATTTTTCGAAGACTTGTATCGGTTGGCTGAAGACTGATTAACCAAACTTTTCGACCGCTTGGCTCCACTCTTGGACCGCTTTTTTGAAGCGCGATTGGTCCAGGTGGCGGAGCGAGTACGACGCAGTCTGTGAACGCTTCTGGTCCTCTTCCCAAACTTGTGTACTGGCAAAATACGACGCTTTTTGCGACAGGTACCCTTGATAGTGGCAAGGAGGTTGTTGTAGGCTGAAAAATTTATATTTTTGTTAAAAAAATTGAATTTTAGAAAAAAGGTGACATGTTATACGATCAAACATGTCCAAAAACAAAGTCTGTAAATGGCTCAAAATACCATAACTTTACTACAGAGACATGTTCTATCGTATAAAATGTCCATTTTTTTAAAAAACTTTTCAATTTTTTCAAAATTTTCAAAAAACTCACGATGTCCAGTACCAGAGTCACTTCGAAGGTACTCATCCGGCGTCCGGTCCAAAACGTGCTTCTTGGAAACAACTTTTTTTCCGATCAAAGTCTCCTGGCGAAATGAGCGTCGTTCCACGTCCGAGCTGGACTGTTCCGACGCACTCGTGCTTTTGGAGCTGGGCTTGAGATGGTCCATTCTGTTGCCGGTGGGCAGGCTTTGGCGCTTCGACAGTCGACGGCCTTGTTTCTTGAGGCCATCAAAGTCCAGGACTAGTGGAATTGATGGGTCTCGGATCACACGGCTCTCTGGTACACCTAAAATGACAGTTAAAGTTGATGTTAAACAAGAGGGACAATTTACACGAACAAACATGTGTCACCGTATAACCTGTCATTCACTTCTCTTTACTCTAAAAAAATCAAAAATCTCAGCTCCAAAAGCAAAATTAGAAAAAAAAAATAAAAATTCCACGTACTTCTTGACCGACTTTCATGCTTGGCCAAGCGTTTTAGCTCGGTGGTCGGGTTGACCTGGCCTTTGGATCGACCAATCGGCGTCTTTCCTTCCAATTCCTTACCCACAATCACTTCAATCACCGGGCTACGGACTTTCTCCACTTTCTGAAATCATATTTGTTACTTGTTTATTAAAAGGCAGGAGTATATTGGCAAAAATTTTTTTGGGGACATTTTTCATCGTAGAACTTGTCACATTGGTCCAAATTTAAAAAAAACTTACAATTTTAAAACGTGGCGGTTTATTGGCGTTGTTGGCCACAGGATCTCGTTCGGGCGATTCCGAAAGGTCATCTTTTAGCTTCTTGAAGCGGAACTGAAAAAAAAAGAAAAATAAGCCTAAAGTTTGAAAATTAATTAACTCTAAGAGTTCAAAAATAAACTTGAGATCCAAAAAATTAAGCTTAAAAACTTAAAAATAAGCCGAAAGGCTCAAAAAGGACTCTAGAAACCCAAAGTTAAGCTTAAAGGTTCAAAAATTAAGCCTAAAGTTTCAAAATTAAGCCTAAAGGGCCAAACCTAGTCTTAACGACCGAAAATTAAGCCTAAGGACTTAAAATCAAGCCCAACTTTTCAAACGTGAGCGTAACGACTCAAACTTAAGCTTAAAAACCTAAACTTAAGCCTAAGGAATTTAAAAATAAGAAAAACATTCAAAACCTAGGCATATAAAATAATAGCCTAAAACGGGCTTAAAACAAGCCTAAAACAAGATAAACTCACCGCCATAATTGATTGGTAGCTGTTCCAATGAGATCTCTCGGTTAAACGAAACGACCAGTCTCAACGATCGAAATTGGAAAAACTGGCCAAAGATCGAAAATCTCGAACGAACTCGACCAGATTTCAATATGAAAAATTTGCATATTTTTTGATTTTTTAATTTTGGGCTTATTTTTTGGAGCAGTTTTGAAAAATTTCGGATAAAATTTGATTTTTTTGCTTTTCGTTACCTAAAATTTAAAAAAGAATCTGTAGAACTAGGGCTAAAGCTCAGGCTAGGACTTGGGTTAGGGCTTAGGTTAGGGCTTAGGCTGGGGCTTAGGCTAGGCTTAGACTAGGCTAAGGCTAGGCTTAGGCTAGGCTTAGGATAGGCTTAGAATACGCTTAGGCTAGGCTTACGTTAAAGCTTAAACTACAATGACAGTTTAAGAAGTCTGATGGTGTTCTTTTTTTGTGGTTTTTGTTTATACAATTTAATAAGTAGTCATGTTGTAGTTACTCCTTCATTGCATCATGCACATTGCTTTTGATGACAATGTTTTTATTTTTTATTTTTATCTTTTGTGGTTTTAATATTTAGGTTTTTCGTTGATTTGCGGTATAGAAGCATAGTCTATAAGTCTACAATGATTTGATGCGGAATGCCAGGGCTGTTTTTATCGTGGTGTGATCATTTTAAAGTTGGGGTAAAGGTTTCATTTTTAAAACAAGAAGGAACTTTCTTTACAAATCAAAAAATGACAAAAACGTTTCTTGCAAAACCAAAAAATGGCAAGAACTTTCTTTACAAAAAATAAAATGGCAATAACTTTCTGTACAAAACAAAAACCGACAAAAAGTTTGCTTACAAAACAAAAAATGGCAAGAACTTTCTTTACAAAACAAAAAATGGCAAAAAACGCAAAGGTTACGTTCAAACTACAATAGTAAAACGAAGTAACTACAAAACGAGGGGAATTGTAATTAAAGCTGCAGACGGAGTAAACTTTACAGAAACAGTTTTGTTTTCCGACCAAAAAAGAGCAGGGAATTAGAGGCGGTTTTCATGGGGTTTTGTATGAAAAGTGCATCAAAACAAACGATTGGGCTCAGTGCATACGGTTGTAAAAACTGGGAAATGTTAGGGTAGAGAAAATTTATGTTAAGATTGGGCTGGGTAGGTTAAATCTAGGGCTAACGCTGTGAATAGGGCTTTGGCTAGGGATAGAGCTTGAGCCTAGGCTAAGTTTATTGTTCATACTAAAGATAGGGATAGAGGCTAGAGCTTAGGCTAGGGCTTAGGGCTTACGCTAGGGCTTACGCTAGGGCTTAGGCTAGGGCTTAGGCTAGGGCTTAGGCTAGGGCTTAGGCTAGGGCTTAGGCTGGGCTTAGGCTAGGGCTTAGGCTGGGGCTTAGGCTGGGCTTAGGCTAGGGTTCAGGCTGGAGATTTGGCTGAGGCGTAGACTAAAATAAACGCTAGGGCTAAGGCTAGAGCTAGGGCTTAGACTGTGGCTTAGGGTAGGGCTTTGTCTAAAGCTTAGGCTTGAGCTTGGGTCTGGGATAAAGCCATGGCTAGTACTAAAGATAGAATTAGAGCTGTGTCTAAGGATAGGACTGGGACTGAACGGGCTAAGGCTGGATCTGAATCTAAGACTCGAGTTTCGCCAATTGTTAGGGAATAGGTGGAGCGAGGAAGACTAAAGCTTGCTTAGTCTAAAGCTGAAACTAAAGATAAGTCTAAAGCTAAGTTTAATCATAAGCCTAAGGGACGAAAGGCTTAAAAAATGTAGCTAGACTTCATTTTATCCTTGTTGCAATATTTTTAATGTTTACATAATCTACTTCCAATTCTATTGTTGGCATTCTAATTTTCTAAAAAATGACGCATATTCGTTACAAATTTAATTTTTTCGTCTTTCAAATGCACTAGCCGAACTCAAACATCAGACTAAAACAGTTCGAATTACATCACAAATTTGGTTTCTGAGGGCAAATTCAGTTTAACCAAACATGTTAGGGATGGTTGGGAGGGGATAAATTTGAAATTTTAATTTAAAAAATTTTTGTTGAAGACCGGAGTAGACATGAGGAACTGGCCGGGCCTGAATGTTAGGCTCGGCTCATTCCTCATGTCTAGTCCGGAGAGGTAGACCATTTTTGTTAGTTCAACTATTGACCTAAACTTTGTTTAGTCTGGCCTTGCGCTACGTTTAAAACTTTTTTAAACTCAATTTGTTGCGAACTGGGTTTGACTTACATTGAGTAAATAATCGTGATGCGTTAATACGGTATCATCGCGACTCATTTAAACTGATTTTTGATTTTCAAAAAAGGATGGAGTAGAGTAGGTTGGAGTAGGGTAGGGTACTGTAGGGTAAGGTAGGGTAGGTTAGGGTAGGGTGAGGTAGGGAAGGGTAGTGTGCGGTAGGGTATAATAGAGTAGGGTAGGCATTGTAAAAGTGTACTTGTAACCTTTCTCGATTGACAATGCTTTAAGCAAACAGTTAATGTGAGTGACACTCCTTTATTTGCACGTCATAAAGAGGTGTTTCACAGCTTACCAAAGAGATAAGATTGTCCGCTTCGTTCGAACACTTTGAACTGTTTTGAATTGTACAGCGGGTTTGGGTTTGAACTGGGTCATTTTGAGTGTTGGGTTTGTTCGATGGGTGGTTGAGGTCAAGAGTTTAACTAGGTCTACTTGGTATAATGTTTTGATGATTGGATGTGGTAACAAATTGGAGTGGGAGATGTAGACCATAGGGTAGGGTGGAGAAGGATAGGGCTCCAATAGTAGGGTAAGGATGGGGCAGGGCAAGTGTACCAGTAAAAATACGAGTAAAGGTGGGGGTTTGAGTAGGGCCAGAGTTAGGGGTAGGGATAAGTATATGTTGACGGCAATAGCTCAGTACGTAGGGTAGTTTAGGGTAGGGTAGGGTGTAGTAAGTTAGTGTAGGGAAGGGTAGGGCACGGTAGGATAGAGTAGGGTAGAGTAGAATAAAGTAGGGGCAGAATTACAGTATAATTTGATAAAAAATGACTATTCTGCAAACTTTTTGACCAAAAACCGTCTTTTCCCAAAAAATTGTAAACGTTTTTGTATTGGGGTTTCTAATAGAAACACCATGGTGCTTCGACGTCATTTTCCTTTTGCTGTTTCGTGGGAGAAAACTTTTGTGAAAGGTTTCAGGGTTTGGATATAATGTGTCATTTTAATTTCGGAATTTGGAATTATGGCTGAATTTGTAATGCTAGGGAAAGGGGTAGGAGTATTATAGAAAAAACTTTTTTTTTGTTTTTTAAATTCAACAGAAAATGGTAAAAAAAGGTTTTTTTTCTGAAAGGTAAAGATGGGGTATGATAATATTTTTAAATTTTAAGCATTTTTTAAAAATTTTTTCAAAAAAATGTTACAAATTTAATTCGAATTTTTAATTTTTTTATATATTATAAAACATCTGTTTTTCATATAAAAATAACTCTATAGTGCATAATTTTATATTAATGTATTATTATTAAAAATTATTTTCACCTGCACATTAGAAAACAAAGCTTCGTAATGATATAAAATTGGTCAACAACATACCAAAAAAATTTTAAGATAAAGTTTATGGTTGTTAATATTAGACTAAATCTAAGTTTACGGTTTAAGCCTATGAAGTCTTCTGCCTCTAAGCCTAAGTCTTCGAAACCGTGATTTATTTTATACAGAGCGCGTATAGTAATCTAAAAATTCAGCAAAATGCTTTTAAAAATATTTGAGATGTTACCTAACAATTGTAATTTCGCTGATATAACTGGATAGCCTTAAAGATTTTATATAACACTTGCCTCGATGTAAAACGACCCACCAAATTACTGCGAGTACTGGGGGTTGCTTCATTTTTCTGTACGGGACTAACTTTGATTTTTTACAAACTGCCCTACTACTCTACCCTAGCCTTATCTACCCTTGTTAAATAAGCCTTCGAAAACACAGTTCAAGATCAATATAATTCGGCCTAATTAGCGTGGTTTGATTGTTTTGTTTGCGATTGTTTGGCCCAATTCAGAGGTCTTGAAGAGCGTGAAAAGTGGAAGGAGGGAGGGTGGGGGGGGGGAGGGCTTTCTCGGAAATGAACAATGTTTTGCGATTATTTGTATAATTGGGTTACTAATCAAATACGACCACTAACGTCTTTAAATTGTACTAATTTGGGTGATAAAATATGGGAAAAGGTGGTGTACAAAGAGGCTGGTAGGAAGGGAAGGTATTTTTTTTAAAAATTTTCAATGGACGTGCCTTTTTATATTCTGTAAAGAAAGTTTTTTGTTATTCTCAAAGATATGATGTAATGAATTTTTAAGCCTAAAATTCGTTTTTAAGTTTAAAATGAATTTTTAAGCTGTTTTTTCTTTTGAATTAACAAAGACTTTATAGGCTTAAGGATGACTCTTATCAGTTCAAGCAATCAGTTGAGGTTTAAAATTAGCTTTAGGCTTAAAAAAATAAATTTTAGACTTAAAAAATAAATTTTAGGCTTAAAATGTAAATTTTAGGTTTAAGAAATAAATTTTAGGTTTAAAAAATAAATTTTAGGCTTAAAAACAAATTTTAAGGTTTAATATAAACGTTAACTTCTTAAAGATATAGCTTAGGCATAAAAATGGATTTTAAGCTCTAAAATTAAATTGTAGGCTTACAAAATGGACTTCAGGCTTAAAAACGGTTTTTTGGGTTTTAAAAATCATGCCTTGGGCTTGGGAATTCTTTAGGCTTAACAGGAAATATTGAGGTTTAAAAAATTGTTTCCGGGTAAAAAATGTATTTTTAACCCAAAAAAAGGCTTTAGATTAGATTTTGGGCTTAGAAGCTAGACTTGAAGAAAATTTTAAAAAAATTTCAAAATTGCTATATGGCAACTTAAAAAACTCACGTCACATTCAGAGCTAGATAAAAGTGATTTTGTCATTTTTGGCGATTGCGATAGTGGTAGATTAACACAATCTACGTGTTTCCGGGATTAACGCCTTTTCTAAATTTAGAA